AGCCCTAAATCCTAAAACCCCTAAACCCCTAAACCCCTAAACCCTAAACCCGAAACCCTTAAACCCCTAAACCCCTAAACCCTAAAAAAGGAGCGCGGCATGCCACCGACGCCGCAGGTTCTGGTCACGATCCGTCAGCTTGGCGGAGACCACCTCCTGGGACCCCAGGTTCCTCTTACATGGTATAGGGGTTTAGGATTTTTAAGGGGGTTTAAGGGTTTTAGGATTTTAGGGATTTGGGGTTTTAGGGTTTGAGGGGTTTGAGGGATTTAGGGTTTTAGGGTTTTTGGGTTAGGGGTTTAGGTTTGGGGTTTTACGGCTTTGGGCTTTGTAGAATGTAGGGTCTTCTTCCGGTTAGGCGCCTACCCAGTAAGAGTGGTAGAACAGGAATGCGCCAGGCATGCCAATAAAATTACAACTATCCCTTGTGCTCGTTATGAGAGGCTGGGGGCCTAGCCCCAAACATACTGTTGCTTGTACTAATGAACTATTTTTTTGCTGTCAGTAGTACAAGTGCCGATGCCGTTATTATTTCTGCTACTACTTTTACTTTGTCCAGTATTCTTGGTTGTTGCTGCTTTTTAGTGTTTATTCTATATGCTATTTTTGCGGTTTCTATTGCTAGCAGAAGGTAGATCTCTATCATAGAATTCCTTACTGGTGGTTAGTAGGGAATGAAGGAATATTATCCCTATATCATATGTGCCCTTATTCCTTACTAACCCCCAGTAAGATTCGTATGGTCTTAATGAGGGATTGTGGCGACCGTGCGGATTGTGTTTCCGTCATAGGAGACCAGAAGTTAAACGCCTAAACCCTGAGCCCTAAACCTGAGCCCTAAGCCCTAAACCCCAAACCCAAAACCCAAAACCCTAAACCCCAAACCCCTAAACCCCTAAACCCTAACCCTAAACCGGCGAAAATCATGCATCCTGTTTTTGTGGGTCTCCATGGGCTTCTCAACCCTGGGTTGGACACTGAAATAAGAACGTAAATCTTTGGAATCCTTTGTGTAATCTCTGCATATCCCTAACCCTAGGCCCTAAGCCCTAAAACCTAAACCTTTGGGGAGCCCCCATCTTAAGAGCATCTGACCCAAATCAGTTGATGCCTACTTCGACTTCGGCCATGAAACTCGCCGAGATTCTGGCAAAGTCCATTGCGGCACGCCCGCAGGAGACTGGGTTGCTGTTAAGGAACTTTATATCCCCTTATAATGGAGAATCAAATGGAAAAGAAAATGGAAAATGAAATGGAACCTGGGGAATATAGGGATTTAAGGAACTTAATTTAAGTTACTATATTGGGGAGACCATATTAAGTACTATATATACCCATTATGTTAACTTAAAGTTCCTGAACAGCAGCCCAGGAGATGGCATTGCTCTGTGGAACAGTCCTGCTGGAGCCGACGGACAGGGGTTTGTTCTTGTTTCTGGGTTTATGGAGGGAGAGGGGAGGGCAGGCAGTCTATACCCAACTTGTTTCAAGGATGGAGGACACTTTAAATACCCGCCAAGGCCTTACTTTATGGCCCTAAACCCGGAGCCCTGAGGACACGCTGGCAGGTTTGGGAGATCAGTTCCAGGGAACCCTGGATCTCATTCGGCGCCCAGAGCGCGTTCGCCTGGTCGCCCACCGACATCCGAGACTTTTTGTTGCCTCTGGAGCATCCCAGTCCTTAGCTGTTCCAGGCACAGCCCTACAGGGGATATGAGCTCCATAAAGGGGGTTATACAGGGGATTATATAGGGGAGTCTTATAGGGTTTATTCAGGGGGATACTAGGGAGTTTCGCCTACTGGGGGTATGAAATCTTGGGAACCATCCGAAGGCAATAGTTGCAAATTATAAGCGTGCTCACATAGCCAAAAGAGAGGCATAGTAGTAGCTCTGACATATTATCAATCCGGAAGCCCCACAGAATACAAGGGTTTAGGGTTTATCTAGCAATCTCTAGTACTGGTATTACATGTTCTGATGACATTGGGGACAAGAAGAAGAGGATTTTCTTTGAAAGTGACCCCGTCCACGCCCTAAGTGATCATAATAAGCAGTCTTCAGAGAGGATTTTTGACAGCCAAAGGCTTGTTGGGGGTCAGTAGAGAAGAAGGGAATATAATCCCTATATGAGTCTAAACTCCTTAACGCGGGGGTTATATAGGGCACGACTGTAGGGGTTATTAAGGGGGATACTAGGAGTTTAAACTATAGCTCATATAATCCCTACCTAATACATTCCCCCTATTCCCTACTACACCCCAGTAAAACCCTAGACCCTAAACCCTAAACCCCCAACCCTAAACCCTAAACAGGTGCAACTGCCTGGGGCGATGAGTTCATTGTGCAGCCAGATGCTGCAAGCCAGGAAGTGATCGGGAAATAGGGGGTTTTCCAAAATTGGGGGGGGGTTCGGGCTTTAGGGTTTCCCAACATCAGGGGCACCCGTAAAAGGGGGGGTATGTGGAGTTATGTTGGGTTTCCCAAAATTAGGTCGGGGTTATATGGGGATAACGGAAGAGCACATGGAAACTACTTTTTGGGTTTAGGGCTTAGGGTTTCCTTGAATTAGGGGTACCTTTTTAGAGGTCCCTAGAATAAGGATTATAGTATTTTGGGGTCTATATGGGGTCCCCCTATTTAGGGAAACTATCAGATCTACCCTTGCTGGTGACTAGTAGGGAAATACAAAAGCAAACCCTAAGCCCTAAACGAAATGGAAGCTGGGAGTTTGAAGCGCGGGGAATCCTAAACCCTAAACCCTAAACCCTAAACCCTAATCCCTAGGAAGCGCTCTCGTTCAGTGGAGTCTCAGATGCGAGCTTCCGGATCTGGAACCCTTTTGCGTCCTTCATCGCGGCTGCGATCGTTGGAGGCCTTGGAAAGACTCCGAAATGGAAGGATGAGCGCCTGTTGGCCATAGACATGTCAGCTAGAGATCTGTCCTACTATGCAGACCTAGTGGGAGAAGGCGGCATTGTTCACTTCAAGAATTCAATTCCTCTTGCAGCCGAAGATCTCAACAAGCTCCAGCAGCACTGGCCAAAGGTTCAAGAGTTGGACTTCGCGGGCACTGCTAGGCCTTGCAAGTTCAATACGTTGCTGGTGCACGGACATATACAGGACCACCAGATAGTTTTAGACAGGCTGAAGTCACTTCTCCGCGCAGATGCTCTGGTGATGTGGACCATTCAGGCAGCTCAGGACGCAACCGAGCCGGCGGAATTGCAGTTTTCACAGACCGTGCAGGCACTAAGACAGTGCGGACTAAAACCTAAAGAGCAGATCACCCTTGAGCCTTACTTCAGTAACTCTGCCGTGATCGTGGCACAATGCGACCGAAACTGGCCAGAGTAGAAAAAGTGCAAGCTTGAGTCGAGAAAAGTCCAGGGCCCCCGATTTTCTAGCAGGGTCCTTGGACATTTGTCTTGTCATTTCGTGGGTGCGCAAGTTTTGTTGAAGCCTCAGCCGTTGAGCCAGGTCTAGAAGCGTGTCAGAGCTTAGCAATATATACCCGATTATAGTATAGTAGTTTCCATTTTCTTTTCCATTATCCCTACATAACTCCTATATAACCCTATATAATCCCTTATATANNTAACCCCATTATAACCCCAATACTTGCAAGGTGGGGCCTCCGAATTAAGTCACTGCCCTCAAAGCCCTGCCCGCATCAATGGTTGCATCTTTACCCAATTTCGTAGTGCACTTACAGCCCAACTACTGACTAGGGGACCGACAACGGACTGTTGAGACATACCCAGCATCCCAACTATAGCCCCGCCCTCACGAGTGAATCTCGCCCAACACATATGCGTAGACTATTTAAGGTTTAGGGTCTAGGGTTGATCCTTGCATGTCACCAGGGTTTAGACGGGTACTCCGTGCAAATGCCTCCAGCTGTCATAAGTCCACGGCTTCCTTGCAAAGAGGCATAGTAAGCATACTCATGACACAGCTACTAGATCTTACATTCATCAGGCTTATCATGCTGATAAATGAGATGCTTTAAGTGTTGGGTCTGGGACATGACGACGTGCTCCTCTGTTCCACAAGCCCTTCCACACCTATTCCAGACCACGAGCTTTAAACTATGAGCTTCATTGCCTTGCCACACTCAAACGCTTTTCAGGTGCATGGATCCCTCGGAACCTCAAAATCCCCACTCAACCTCCAAGACCTTTGGTGTTTCTGTTTCGACTCATGCCGCACAGCTCGGCAGGCGGACGGAACCCTCTGATACCTAGGGCCTCCGGTGCCCAGAGCCTCTGAGACCTGACGCTTAGGGCCTCTGGTACCCAGGTTTGAGGCTCAACAATGTTGTGCAAAAAGGTTCGGATCAGAACTGATGACATGGGGTCCCAAAGGCTCCCCACAGCAGTGCAGCGCAGCAATGGTGCTGGGAGCAATAGTTGCCCATGCACACTCGGAGAGGGAAGCACGTCTGGCCTCATCAGAGCACAGCCTCCAACTCCTAATGCTTGAGCCCAGACCCTATACCCTAAACCCTA